AAACGCATCGTGGCTGCCCCCTTGTCCTCTCTCTAATCATTTGCTCTTGGGGGAAATGCTATGTCATAAAGACATACAAACAGCCCTATGGAGATGTAGCTTGGTGAGTTAACTGAGGCCTCCTGCCCAAGAGCTACATAAGTGAGCCATCTTGGAAATAAGCTACATACGTGAGCCACCTTCAGCCCGAGTCAAGACTTCATATGGCTGCAATGCTAAACAACCGCAACCTCATGAGACCCAGAGCCTTTAAGCCACTAAATTTTGGGGAAATTTGTTACCCAGCAATAAATAATACAATAGGCAAAGTATGAAATCTCTAACTCTTACATCAGAGTCAAGGAAGTTTTCTAAGAGCTATGGCAAAACCTACACTTTGCAAATTAAAAGTCTAACAGTAATATGCAAGATGAATGAAGTGGGAAGCATTTTTGTCTTCCTGTCTCTCACAATACCCAATAAAAAGCCTGCACATAGTATATACCTCTGCTTGGTAACAAACTAGCCTACAGACAGGATTCCCTAACTGACCCAACAAAAGTCTTAAAAGCAAAATGTCTCCTTAGAATTTCTCCATATAAATTCGATCCTGAAATCTACAGTTTTTTTTACTGTCATTGTTTCACCTTTAGCACAGAACCACACCTTTAACTGAAAGGTACATTATGTTATGAAAACTGAGATCTAGAAGCATTTTTTCCTAAATTTAATTTTAAAAACAATAGCTGAAAGAGGAATTCTGGACAGATACAGACAGCTGCTTTATAGTTGAAAGGAGTACCTAGTAAAGAGAGTTCTAACAAAATATGAACAAAATAGCACTTTAGGTAAAAGTATTTTATTGCCTCAACCGTACAGATCCTCATACATCTTGAGGAAAACCTCAATATGCAGACTTCTAACATTAATCTGATGTAAACTTTTAGTCTCTATACTAGAAAAAGATCTTCCCAACCACACTATTGGGAAATTAGGCAATATAAGCCAGTTTTCCCCATGTCAAAGCAATCTTAGTTATAACATCAAAGTCTGCAACCCAGGGATTGCCAGTTGCTGAGGTGGTCACACCAAAGTCTTGGGTTTGAATCCCCTTACTGGCCAGACGTCAAAAAAAAAAGAAGTCTGCAATCCATAGCGCTAGGAGTCCAAACTTTGAACACAAAATTGTAAGGGCCTGTGGCCTTTGCTGACCATTAACTTTCACACTGTATGTCCTTTCCTATCACCCCCCAAGACTGATAGAAGTAGTTGAAAGTGATCTTAGGCTTTTCAGAATAAGTCATGAGCTAATAAGCTGTCAGGTGCCAAGAGGGAAAAAAAAAAAAAAAAAAGAAGTCATGACTTGGAGGAAAAAAAATATATATAAAATAAAGACATCCACAAAATACAGGCTGTTGTTATTATCAACTCACCTATAAGAAGCTGAGTATTTTCATGTATAACTTAATTCAATAGCTGGTAATAATTTGTAAACTAAAATAATTTTATAGGCATTTTATATTCTACAAGTCTATGTAAAAGCTAATTTACGACTTGAAATTGAGACCTGTCTTCTATTTTCTCGGTTTTTTTTTTTTTTTTTTTTTTTAAAGATGACCGGTAAGGGGATCTTAACCCTTGGCTTGGTGTTATCAGCACCACACTCTGCCAAGTGAGCTGCAGGCCGACCCTTCTTCGTATGTTTTTAACATCAATATGTTCAGTACAAGTATGACATTTAATAATTCTTTGGTTGATGGTTCATTCAAATATTTTTTAAACTTTTTATATGATAAATACTGTGTTGGAAAAATGGAAAGTAAAACAAAGTGCAGTTTAACAAACAAAAAAAGAAAAATTTAAAGTTAACTTAGCCTCTGTAATTAACCTAAAAGGGGATAACTTTTTAAAAAGTACTTATGTTTGGGGCCGGCCCATGGCTCACTTGGGAGAGTGTGGTGCTGATAACACTAAGTCTAGGGATAAAATCTCCTCGCAGGTCATCTTTAAAAAAAAAAAAAAAAAAAAAAGGATTTAAGCTTCCATGAAAGAAAAAACTTCAGTTTAAGTTCCAAGTAAAAAAAAAAAAAAGGATTTAAGCTTCCATGAAAGAAAAAACTTCAGTTTAAGTTCCAAGTAAAAAAAAAAAAAAAAAAAAAAGTACTTAAGCTTCCATGAAAGAAAAAACTTCAGTTTAAGTTCCAAGTAAAAAAAAAAAAAGCTAGTTTTTAGTAGTTTCACACAGTGAAATACTCCCCCCAAAGAAAATTCCACTAACTCTATAACCAAAGTAGAAGTAAATTACACATCAATTTCAATATTTTCTAAATTTACCAAAATAAACACGTTTATAAACTTACACTGGTTTTGAATAACTTTCTCTTGGGAAAAATAATAAACTTTTTTTGTACCAAATTTAATCATTTTACAAATTCGTCACTTCTCACCACACAACCTTCCAATACATGTTTGTGAATGACGCCTTAGGCCATGACCTCTAAAGTCTAAATCTTTAATTCTTTTTAAGAAATGAGCACTTAAAATTAAAAATATTTGAGAAATTTCAACAAATTCTAAAGCATTATAAAATAAACTCAAAAAAGCAACATAATTGCAAAGTGACAATAACTGAACAGGCATTCTAACAGAAACAAGGTACTAATGACAATAGAATCATTGTAACAGTAATACCTAAATTTTTTTAAAAGCACTTTTAACTACAATATCCATCCATTAAGTCACAAAAATAAACACTTCCTACCGTGAAATTTATTTATAAAATCCATAGATGGGCATAATCTGCAGGAGAGTTTATAAGAATTATGGATCCTTTTCAGATTAAAAATAACTCTGAGGAAAAAAAACCTCAAAGGCAACAGGGAAGCGTTTCAGAATTAAGATTATCAAGACCACAAACCAATTTCACTAGTAAGGCTTTTTCATACCAGTGACAAATCTATTACCCTGAAATGGTAAAATTAAAACAGTGTTTTGCAGTCTCTAATGTTTAATGATTAAGAAAACCAAGTATGCCTGGTTATCAAGTTTAAATCTTATTTGGACACGTGACACCAATATCTTCCTCCTTAACCTAAAAAATGATGTAAAAATTAGATATTCAAGTGACTAATAAATATCAAACGAAGCCAAAACTCCACTTCTTGAAATATTACTTGACCAATAATTCATTCGCTCCTGAAGGGATGTAGTGGACAGACATTAACATAACAGACAAAAACTGTGACACATACCACTTGTTATTTAAGGTGAATTATTCTAACTCTTGTCAAGTGGAAATAGCAGGGGACTTAAGAACCTTTGGTAAGATACAACTCCACCTTTCCATGCTATATTTACTGTCTTGAGTAAGATACTCAACTTGCTTCTTCATCTGTTAGACTGAGTTCAAAATAATACCCATCTTAGACCACAGTTGTGAGAATGAGACATTTAAATTGTGCAGTTCTCGGCAAACTTGTGTGTGCATCCACACAAGTGTGTGCGCTCAGTACCAGGTAAATGGAAAAACTGTGCTGACTGTATAAACTAAGGTCAACTTTCAAATATGCAGTAGTATCAGTGAAGGAAGATATAATAAAATGATAAACAGCCCATTTTTCATTGTGCAGTTCACATCAATTTTTAGTTTTCTGGAAGACATTCTCTTTCCTACCCATGCCTAAACAGTTCGGCACAATTTTTCTAAGGTTTGTACAATCTATTTTACCCCATCCAAGATATTTTCTTAACGACGTTAAAGTAAATGTCAAACAGAATGTAATGCTAGATTTTCAAAATGTTCAGGCCTTTGTCCTTGCAGCATTAAATATAAAGAGTTCATTTCTATGAGTTAATCAGAATTCCTAGAACTTTAGAATACTTAAACTTTTAAATCAAAATTACTATCAACTGTTTAAAATTCTACTGCTCATCAAAACATTAGCAGATACTCAAAATAAATGCTAATATACGTTAGAAGCAGTATAACATGCATGACGTGATTTTTTTAAAGTACATTAAAAACCAACTAGTTAAAGTATGTAGTCTTCTAAAGAGATCAAAATAATAGTAACAATTGAAACATATACTATTACAATAAATTTCTTAAATGTCTTGAAAAAATGGGGAGCATTTTTGCCAGTCTCCAAGTTTTTCTAACAAGCTTTAGAAAATAACACTAATTCCTTTAGAGAGCTCTCCCATACATGACTTAAAATATTATCATCTAAAATCATGACTCTCATGTTGTAGCATTGCTATGTAATAAAGATTTTAAGCCGAATATGCTGTACCTTCAAGACCGTATTCTGTTAGGATTCCAAGTCTGATTCCGCAAAGTTATTTTAAAGGAAAGTAATTCACTATTCTTTTCCACAATGATTTATTTGTGTTTTAAACTTTCTCCCAGATTTGATCTCAAAACAAATAGGAAAGATTATTAAAATCACGCTGGAAACCACATTACTGACTACAAATGACGGATTTTGGAAGCAACGACTAAATATAAAAGAACAGCCTCCTTTTTTTGTCTAAGTAGAGAAAAGTGATAGTTGGGGTCTCCTCCCTGGCCAAGGAAGTTCTGTTAAATCCAGGCGAGACCAGCCATATTGGAAAACACTTGTCAATTATAGTTGTGACAAGTGTTCCCGAACACGGTTGGATAAAGCTAACCTTGTGTACCGAGGTGTACATCAAGGCCCTCTTCTGCTCCGCCAGAGGACCTGGGCCTGTCTGGGGATTGTTCCCGAGTTAGAGCTGTCCTTAGGTCCGTAAGGAGTGCAGAGCCGAGGGGAATGAGGGCGGGGACAGGAGGCTTAGGGGGGAATGGCTTGAGAGTTGGAAGCCGCTATCCGCTGCGAGAGGGGCGCGGCGGCAGCGACAGATTTCCGAGTTGAGAGCCTGGGGGAGGGGCCGAGAATTCGGGGAGCCAGGGGGATCGCAGCGGAAAGTCCCCCGGTCCCCTGTGAGGGACCGGGAGTTCGAGAGGAGGAAAGGAAAGGGAAACACTTCAGGGCACTGACCTGTCCTCGGAATCCATGCGGCTCAGGGGTTCCCCATCCGACGACATCTCCAAGCTGCCTCGCCGGCCCCCGGAGGTCGCGCTGCTTCCGCCTCCCCCGGTCCCGTAGCCCTCGTCGCCGCCGCTGGAGACGACGCTGCTGCTACTGCTGCCGCCCCCGCCGCCGCCCTGGCTGCCCCGCGGTCCCTTGGGCTCCTCCAGGCCCTCCTTGCCGTCCCCATCCCCGCTGCTGCTGCTGGCGGCGCCGGGGCTCAGCGAGCGCGTCTCGTCGCTGCTGCTCCCGCCGCTGCTGCCCACCAGGCAATTACAAAAGTTTTCTCGTTCTTAATAATCTAACCCCCTTACTTCTACTTCCCACCGTCCTGAAGAAACCACTAATTTGATTTTTGACATTGTAGATTAGCTTTCATTTTCTTTTTAATTTTATATAAATGAAATCATACAGTATGTGTTTTTGAAGGGGGAGGTTTGACTTCTTTTTCTCAGTATAATTATTTTGAGATTTATCTATGTTGTTGAGCATGTCAATAGTTCCTTCTTTTTATTGCTGAGTAGTCTTTGTTGTATTGATTTACCATTTACTTATTGATGGGCGTTTGTTTTTTGCTAGTTATTACTGACAAAGTTTCTATGAACAAGGACAAGTCTGTGTACAAGTCTATGTACATGTCTTTATATGAACTTTTGTTTATTCTCTTGGTTAATATCTAGGATTGGAATGGCTAGATCATACAGTAGATGCATAATAAACTCCTATGAAGCTGTTAGATTATCAAAGTGTTTGTACCATTGTAAATTTATCCCAGCAATGTATGTCCTCACCAACACTTGGTATGGTCAGTCTCCACGCCCCCACCCCCCAGCTGTTTTCACTTTATTGTAAGTGTAGATGTCTATGTAGGTGTGAATGGTGAATACAGAGCTGGAGGAAGAAGAGGAGAGGACAGAAAGAGGATGGGTATAGAGATACAACATTGTGGTTTTCATTCACATTTTCCTGTTAACTAATGATGTTAAGCATTTTTTATGTGCTTATTCACCGCTCACGTATCTTCTTTGGTGAAGTGTCTATTTAAATCTTCTGACCATTTTTATTGAGTCACTTGTCTTCTCCTTGTTGAGCAGTAATAATTCTTTATTTATTTTAGAAACAAACCATTTGTCAGATTGTAAATTTTGCAAATATTTTCTTCATTCTGCAGCCTCGCCCGCTCCCCGCGTGGCCCCAGCCCCGAGCCCGCCCAGGGCTCAGAGTTTCCTCGGGGCCTTCCCACGCCCTGCCCGGCCTCGCAGCTGGCCGCACACGCGGAACGAAAGCTCGAACGCTCGCCGGGGACTCTAAGTCCTCCGCGTTCTCACGATAAAGTCATTCAGTCGGGGGTGTTTGGGGAGTGTCCCCTGGGTAACGGCTCTGTGCCAGGAACCGAACAAATTCCTGGCCCGAAGACAGTTTATAATCTACGAGGAGAGGAGATTAAAATGAACAAAAATAAGTAATGCGATGCAAGACACTAAATCCACATGAGCAACAGAGCGCCACAGGTTTTAATTTAACCTGTGTTTGGATACCCCAGGGAATGGACGGTGAGGTCACAAACTGAGGGCAAACATCTCTTTGGTTCACAGTCTTCAAACTTTTTGACTCATGAGCCCTCTAAAACAATTTTGCAAAGCTGCGTACGTCCTTATACGGTTTTGAGTGACAGCTACATTTTTTTTACCAGCCTGTTATAAATATTTTATCTGTCGCATTTTTAAAACCTAGTCAATGGACATTAAATACCTTAGGGATTAAGTACCCACCAATATCCACTTTTTAAAATGCAATCTCTTTTACCTTATACAATTTCCATGCTTCATCTTCTGGAAATCGTATTTACATGACATATCCCCTCCATAGTTTTATCTTAATAATATATGGTTTTTTTCATGGTGACTGGCTGGTACAGGGATGGAACCCTGGACCTTGGTGTTATCAACACCAGGCTCTAACCAGCTGACCTAACCCACCAGCCCCATATTTTATATTTAAACTGTTTTATTGATCATCTTATCACAGTTCCCTGTAATAAAAATGTATATATAAATTGAAATTTATGGGTTGTTTCTTACATTTACTGTGATCATAAAGCTCTTAAAAGTCTTATTTCAACCAATCAATTGCAAAAGTCAATTTCAAACATTTGCAAATAAGTATTAAACACAAAAGTAAAAATTTATTGGAAATGCATCCTTGCAGAGATGGAGTTAGATGGATCTTTTGAGAAAGAGTTCAGCATCAATTCTATTGCAAGTTATCAATTCCACAGATATAAACCTTGAGAAAACTTGTTCACGTAAGAAAGTAGATGAGAATGAATTGAGTTTTGTTATAGTAATGCCACTCAATTCTTTGAACTCCTTCCAAATTATATGCCATAAAAATCACATAATGATCTAACAAAGGCAAAATACTTTTAATGATCTAAGAGCTGACAACTCTGATTAGGTTCTTTGAACTTTATTGAAAGCAAGTAATTGAAAACCACCTGACTTGTGAAAGTATGTTACCCATTCTCATTCACCAGCCAAAATCTCCTTCTTTGGTGCCCTGGAGGTTTTTGCATACCCTGGTATTGCACCTTGGTAAGATTTGGAAGGAGGAAGAGTTATGTATTTTGGGCAATTGGGATAAAGGAGGCTGGAGATGAGCCCACATTACACCCTGACTGGAAAGCACATTTTCAGTCAGGTCAATTTTAGGGAAATGAGGACGGGAGAACTGATCACCTTACAGTGTCTGAGCCCATGCACATCTTGGAAAGTATACATATACCATGAGTTCCCCAAAATTAAGTCCTCTGTCTTAGGCCTTTGGACAGCTGTTATATGGAAGGTTGACTCAAGGGAAATAAAATAAAAATAAATAATATGGCACATTACAGTTTACATCTACCTTCACACACACATACAAGGTACTGACCTCAAACATTTTAAATCGCAAAGCCATTCTTTGACTAGAAGAATGGACAGCCCTGTAGAAACGAGATTGGACAAAAGGATATGATCTGATGATAACAGACTAAAGGGGGAAGCCCAGCAAGGCCTGTCCAGATTCCTCTCAGCCTCTGTGTAGCATTCCTTCCTCCCAGATATGGGACAGGACCCTCTGAAATTAGGATCTTCAAGGGAGAAAGGAGAGAGTGACCTTTCTAGGTTTTATGTCTTGCTTTGGGGGAGAGGAGTTCTAGTTTCTATGACCTGCCTTGAGAAAGAATTCTGGTTTCTCTGATTCACTTTTGGGGAAAAAGAGGGGCAGGAGAAGGTCAGCGAGAGACTTGACTTCTGAGGCTGCTTCTTTGTTTGTTTGTTTGTTTGTTTTTGGCTGCTGGCCAAACCCTTGACCATGGTATTATAACACTGTGTTCTTAACCAACTGAGCTAACCAGCCAGCCTTGAGACTGCTTCTGAGGGCTTCCAGTATCCTTTAGTTCAAAGTACTCAGCATGCCACAGTGCCATACTTTGGGATATCATTTTCTGAGCCATAACAAATGTATGTACTAGGTACCGTGTTAATCACTGGAGATTAGGGTTCACTTATGGCTGAGTTAATCAAGGAAAGCTTCATGAAGAATATGAGATTTAATAAGACATATAATCACTACATCTAGTTTCATTAATTTAAGCTGGATCTTAAACAGTGAATAGAATTCTGAGTTGGGGGAACTTTAGGACTGAGAAGCAATACATGGAAAAGCATAGAAGTTTATTCATGATAGCATTAAATAAAATTATAGGAGGCCATTGTTTTGGACTAAGTTCCTGCACGAGGCCCCAAAAGACCAGACTAAAAGTTAAAATGAAGTCGCCCTGCTCAGTTCCATAGCAGCAAACCTGAACTAAATTGTAGTCTGATCTTCAGAGAAATGAGGAGAGAAATAACAGCCAGTTTCCCAAACAGGCCAGTTTAAATCTTCAATAGTTATGATAATGAGGCTCCCTCTGCTTTAATCCTTACACAAAAAGCATAACCTGATGTTAAATAATAGTTATTGTTTCTGTTGTGGTCCCCCTGTCCCCATCTTACTCTCTTTTCCTTTTTCTTTTTTTTTTTTTTTTTTTTCTGGCAGCTGGCTTGTGAGGGGATCCGAACTCTTGACCCAATACCATGCTCTAATCAACTGAGCTAACGAGGCAGCCCCCCCATATCACAAGGAAAGTAACTTTGAAATGACCAATCTCCTTTCCGTTTTTTGTTTCTGCCTTCTTCAGCCTTTTCTGTCCTCTGCTCAGCTCATTGGAACACTTACTCTATTTTATGGAATGATATGTTACCTGATTCTAGAATTGCAATAAACCCAACTAAGATCTTTACCTACATTTGTAATTTTGTTCTTTGACAACAGAGTTAACTAACCAAGAGAAAGAATAGCTAGAAAGTTAAAAAAGTTAAAAGATTGGACTGAAGAAGGCTTTCAATTAAAAAGTTTTGATGCTGAGGACTTGTTGGCTAGCTCAGCTGGTTAGAGCGTGGTGCTGATAACACCAGGGTCAAGGGTTTGGAATCCCCATACCGACCAGCCACAAAAAAAAAAGTTTTAGGGCCAGCCCGTGGCTCACTCGGTAGAGTGCGGTGCTAATAACACCAAGGCCATGGGTTCGGATCCCATATAGGGATGGCTGGTTAGCTCACTGGGTGAGCATGGTGCTGACAACACCAAGCCAAGGGTTAAGATCCCCTTACCGGTTATCTTTTTAAAAAAAAAAAAAAAGTTTTAGGGCCAGCCCGTGGCTCACTCGGTAGAGTGCGGTGCTAATAACGCCAAGGCCATGGGTTCGGATCCCATATAGGGATGGCTGGTTAGCTCACTGGGTGAGCATGGTGCTGACAACACCAAGCCAAGGGTTAAGATCCCCTTACCGGTTATCTTTTTTTTTAAAAAAAAAAAAAAAAAGTTTTAAAGTTAAAAGACAGTGGGTACATACTGAGATATTTTAAGAAAGGTGTGACAAGATTAGTATTACACTGTACAGCTATCTAATGTATAAGAGATATGATGAAGAGTAAAAAGTGAATGGAAATTAGACCCAGGGAAGTGGCAGTTATCAAAGTCACAAACGAATGCTCTAGCTGCAGTGTATATGCTTGAAGACTAAAAT